TTAAGTCCAACGGGCAAGGGCCATTGCTGAATGGCTTCTAGCTTTTTTGGTTCCATTTGAAAACCAGTTCCTGATATGATGTAACCTAGGAAATGCCTTTATGAAACAAGCATTTCTCTAGCTTACAATAGAGTCCATTTTTTTATAATTTAGAAAGAACTAACCTGACGTGTTTATAGTGTTCTTCCATGTTTTTAGAGTAGATCAATATATCGTCCAAATAGGCTATTACAAACATATGTAAATAATCTCTTAAAACATCATTAATGAAGTCTTGGAAGACTGCAGGGGCGTTACATAACCCAAAGGGCATAACACGGTACTCGTAGTGACCATAGCGAGTATTAAATGCAGTTTTCCATTCATGCCCTCTCTTAATCCTGATTAAATTGTATGCTCCCCGCAAGTCCAATTTAGAAAAGACAGTTGCTCCTTTCAACCTGTCGAAGAGTTCAGTAACTAATGGTATCGGGTAAGCGTTCCGTATAGTTATCTTATTTAATCCTCTATAATCAATACAGGGTCTTAAATCTCCCTCCTTTGTGGAAATAAAGAAAAAAACAGCGCCCGCTGGAGATGATGATTTAGTAATAAACCCTTTTCTTAAATTTTCTGTAATGTATTCTTCTAATACTTTATTCTCGGCCATAGAAAGGGGATATACAGTGCCTCTAGGGGGTATAGTGCCGGGTAACAGGTCGATGGCACAGTCATATGCACAGTGAGGTGGTAACTTTTCTGCCTCTCGTGGTTCAAAGACAGATTTAAGACCTGAATATTGTTTGGGTATCTGAGTGGGCAAAGGTTCCATAGTAGGTATATTAATCAGACCTACTGGTTTAATTGGGGTAATACACTTTCTAGGACAAGAATTTCCCCATTTTAGAATTTATTTTCTTTCCCAGTCTATTGAAGGATTATGCTGGGAGAGCCAAGGGAAACCAAGAATAACAGGAAAGATGGGAGAAGTTTTATTGCAGGGTTATAACCTCCTTATGAAGGAAACCTACGGACAATACCAGAGGAGTAGTTTCTTGAGTGATCTGAGGTACCGACAGTGGTCTACCATCTATGGCCTCAACGGCCAAGGGTGCGGATCTATTTTGAAATGGGAGAGCATGTTTTTTACCGAATTCGTGATCCACAAAATTCTCGGCTGCTCCAGAATGCATTAAAGCAATGGTTGATACCTTTTTTCTTTCCCATTCTATAATCACTGGTAGAAGAAGCCTAAGATCTCTCTTATCATTGAAGGAGGACATACACATAACACCCAAGGCCTGTCCTCCTTGAGGGCTTAGGTGCAGGAGTTTTCCGGTCGGTTAGGACATGTAAAGCGGGAATGTCCTTTCTTACCACAATACAAGCATAACCCCTCCCTTCTACGGTATTGTCTCAGACAATCGTGTAACTCCCAATTGCATTGGCTCAGGAGGAGTAACTGTTGTCTCAGAAGAGGGATAAGTCAAGGCTAGGCGGTCCGGCACCCTTCTAGGTCTTTCCCTAGTGTTTTGCCTATGCCGGAGTCGTTCGTCAATGTGAGCAAGATAAGTGATCAGTTCCTCCAGAGTATTAGGTAAATCTCTGGTAGCTACTTCATCTAAGAGTTTGTCAGACAATCCATTCATTAATACATCTACAAATGCTTGTTCGTTCCACCTAACCTCAGCAGCAAGAGTACGGAATTCCAGAGCATAGTCAACTCGGGAACGTGGGCCTTGTCTCAAACGTAACAGGTTTGGCAACGTTAGTCCTTCTCCCTGGGGGGTCAAAGGTTCTCCTAAAAGCTGCGACAAATTCAGCATAGTTAAAAACTATCGGGTTGTCGTTCTCCCACAAGGGATTGTCCCAGACTAATGCTCGATCTATTAATAGGGTGATTATATAGCCAATTTCAGCCCTGTCAGTTGGATATGCTCTTGGATGGAGTTCGAAATAAATGCTGACTTGGTTCAAGAAACCCTGACATCCCTTAGGATCACTCCCATATCGAAGAGCGGACGTAGCCTGATTGGAAGAGCTTGCAGCAACCATTTCTATAGGGTGTTCCTGAGGTCTCTGGGTAGGGATTTGCTCCTCCGGTTCGAGATGAGCGGTACAGGTTAGTAAGGTTTGTACGGCTAGAGCGATCTGGTCCATACGATGGTTCAGTTCCTCAAACCGATTATCCGCTACTGGCCCAAGAGGGTTAACACCTGCAGGGTCCATGGCCCTAGTTTAATGTCACGACAGTGACCCCTTCTCACAGAATGTAACCCAGAGAAGAACGTATACCGGACCTTAGAGTGGCCGGACTAACGTTTAGAGTAGTCAAATGGATAGCCAGAGATCAAGGGAGTACAGAAGACTGATAAACGATATATCGTAGCCAAAGTACGGGAAACCAGAGAGCAGAATAGTCAAAAGGGAAAGCCAAAAGTCAATAACCAGGAAAGCAACACTTAAGAAGATTATTAGCACTAGAGGAACCAACAAGAACCACACTAGGGCACCTTACAAGTGACATGGACACCCTTTTATAGTGTGGGGTATATTGCTTTAAAACCACGCCCCCAAAAGGTCCGGGGGCGTGGTCGCGTGTGACTTACGCTGGCATTTACTTGCTGGCTACGGCGCGCAAGCGCCGTATTATAAAGAGATAAGGGGTGTGAGTGCCCAGCGTCAGAAGGGCTGTGCCGCTCACCGGAAGAGAATGCCGTGCGGCGCAGGTCCGAGGAGGAAAGGTAAGGCATCGTTACAAATGGTATCTAAGCATCAGACTGCATATGTGAATGCCCATGGCGCCTTAATGGTAGCATGTGTCAGCGTGGAGACTCGCATAGTCTGGGGTATTGTCACGTATGCAACCTCACCTTGTGGTTTTGGCAATAGGAATTTCCTTCCTAGCAGTGATGGAGGTGCTGTTCAGCAGTCCGGCGCTGGTATACCTGACTGCTGCAGCATATCTGTGGACGCCGGGCGCTGCGGATCCACACCATATATAAGCCCCACATACGCCCACGGTAATGATGGCGTCGGCGTGCGTGTGACGTAACGTAATAGACGCACACGCACATTTAGGGGTCAAAAGCTGGTTATGGCCAATTGGATCTGCAAGAGGGTTATTTAAACTCATCTCTCCTTTCACTCATTGCCCTGTCGTGGTTTCCCTTAGCTGGTGATCCGAGTGTGTGTTCCAGAGCGTTTATTTCTGGTTATTGACTTTAGCTTCGTTTTGGCGTCCCTGTATTCTTGTATCCTTGTATCCTTGACTTTTGTTTTTTCCTCATCGTTGTATCTCCTTCTGTGTCCCTGACATCGGCAAGTATTCTGACTATTCTCTTGTACGTTTAGTCCGCCCATTCTAAGGTCCGGTAAGACGTTACCTTTAGTCCCAGGTGTGATATAATTCTATGTGCTAGATCAACTAGTAATCCTGACAGGTATGTGTTCTAGCCCCAGGAGTGTTTATTGGCTGAGGGTTTCCAAATGCGCGAGAGAGGGTTTGTGGAGGATTGAGCTGTGTTCCCATTTGTTTCAGGCTACTGGCATACTTCCTCAGCAGTCTTCCACTGCGGTCTGACTGCGGGGAGAAAAATATGCAGCTTTGCTCTCTTTGCTGCTGGTACTGCGTAGTCCATGCACTTTGTTAGTTACTGTTTCTGATTATTCATCGTTCTCACCATTCACTTTCTTTGATTTCCTACGGAAGCAGCCGCACAGGGCCCGTAACACCCGTCTCAGGCAGGATCCTTTATTGCTTTCTTCTTTTTTCTTCTCAATTCTTTCACCTTCATCAGTTACTCGTATTTTCTTTTGCACTCTCGTCTGAAATTTCACTCTCACTCTGACCTTGTTTTTTTTTTTTTTGTTGTCAGTAAATGTGTCCTCCATATAAATTTTTGTGTATATATATATATATATATATATATATATATATA